AATAGATATCAAATTGATATCGAATAATGTGTTCAAGTGAAATCAAAGCTGATGTGAATAATATGGTATTGATGAACCATCGATCCAAGAGTTTATAAAATTCAATTATAATTCTGAAAAAAACGGTAAGGAAAAAATGCTAAAGAAATTTCACACACACATTTTACGCTAAAAAAATTTTGTTAATAATATATCAATTACATAACTGGAAAGAACATAGTACTGTAAAATAAAACACCGTTGTTTTTTCAGAACCTTTAAAAAATCAATATCAACATCACGACACAATTTTCTTTTTTTAAATAATTATTCAAATGTTATCCTTATTAATTACTATTTAGAATTAAATTTCTAATTTTTTTCCGCTCATTGCAGAAATGTTCGTGACACACCAGAAAAATTAACGCACACGTGTATACCACATAGACTGATAATCATATTAAAATTAACGCTGATCAGAAATACACGTAACGTAGATTCGATAAGTTTGGCGAATCTGTATAATCATTTCGATGCAATTAAAGACAATATCGATGTATAGAAAATGTTACTCTGATAGAAGTCTAGTAAAAAGAGAAAAATATCATTAACACTCTAACACATTGAGGTGTTTTCGTAAACAACTCAACGCTATACTGCAATTGTTGTCTTCTATTTTGTTTAATTTCAGGAAAAAATTAACATCACTGTCTTTATCAATGTTCTCCAGCGTGTCTAGAAGCGCATAAACATGTTGGCGCAAGGAGTAATACTTTTATCTAAAATTCTCATTGTCAGTTTCTGAACCAATATTGAACTCTTATCCGTTAATAAAGAACATCCCACAGGTATGCTGGATCAAAACGTAATAGAAGCTGTCAAGAGCGATTCTACTGAAAATGCGAATATGGTTACATAACAGTGAATCATTATCGAACAGATATGCTGATCTAATTTCTCGTATTCGACGTGAAAAGGCAATTTCGATGTTCCTGATATCATTACAGCTACGTCATCGTCTTCCAACAACGTCACGATAACCGGCTTAATTAAATAAAAGAATCCTGACGTCAACATTAAATCTACAAATTGGTATGAATAACATGTATACATGTATAAATTATTAAAGTTCATAAATTTACATGTGGTTAATAATATGCAAAATATTATAAAGGATTTAATTATTAGAAAACTACTATACTTTTTTTCAAAGATGAGTAGGTAAAAATTTGAGTCCTTTTCTATAGTTTTAATACACACTTTCATCTATAGACCCGTGTATTTCCTTTCATACTAATAGTTCTGCTATCAAAACCGCGCCAAGAACTTACATGACCTTAATTGCCATTGAATTCGCATTACCTACTTTTTCATCATTTCATTATCATTATTAACTTAAAATTGAATATTATAGTGATCATTATCAACGGCACGCACTCGATCAGATCGTTGACCTCGGTTAAACCAATTTTAACAGATGTAGTACCTACTCATGCCATGTAATTTCTGGGAACTTTGTAATAGTGATTTTGCCAAATGCTTTTTTGCGCGACCGTTTTCAAGAATACTAAGCTCATGGCGACTATCAACAATTCTTTGTGAATCCAGCAAGCTCCGAGAACATTATTATCAATTCCTTGTGTCGCAATACGCTCGTAATTATGTCACTATGAGATAATTACATAATTATTTTCTAATAGAAGTAATCAACCCTTTCTAGCCACGATGTCAGCAATTAATAGCACTTACTGTCCGTTAAATAAATATATTCAAGTTGCTATAAAGGTTTTGTTCACGAATAATTTAGTCGATTATTGTAAAACAAAAAAATCAACAGTATTTTTTCTCAATATGATTTATTATGACTTTTGATTGTGATAAAAGATGAAATTTCTCGGTGTGAAATTTTCTATTGCACATTTTTTATATTATAAAATAATGGAGACTCAGGCCCATCGCTAAACTATCACGCACATTTGATAAACAATGTAAATATGAATTTTAGAATTTTGTTAAGCAGCTGAATCGTGTTGGAATTATCAATTGAAGGAACGTAGCATCGTTAAATAAGACATCGACGTTTTCAGAACCTTCGTGAGATGAAATCGTTATATAAAATATATTTTTTAAGTATATTTAGAAGTTACAGAAATCGTGGATATAGAATATTTTTAGGAAATATAATTTTGGAAGTATGATTTTGCTTACCGTTCCAAAGCTTTCAATGGATAGAGTCACAACTTTACCAGCAGTTACTTTGCACGGTAGTACACTTCTATTCATGATCAAGAAGAGAAGTTTTCGGCATCTCCCTGAAGTGTAATACCAATCTGACTTGCAACTGCAATCAGAACAAAATTCATGCTGTAGAATAAAAAACTGAAATCATATTCATCCTATATAAAAAATTCAAAAATGTTCCCTTTTATAATTAGTAATTTTATAATTTGTAATAAAAGGAGCATTCCAAGAATTGCAAAAATGACGCTTATGGAAGATTTGTGATAATTACATAAAAAATTAATTATTAAGCAAGATACAGTCTTACATTGATTCGTAAGGAACGATGCTGTAATCCAACAGGAATTGAGCCGGCCAGAATTGTAGGAAGAGATGAATGAGTTGAGCAATATAAATAGCAAGTGGTTCTACGATATCTTTCGCGTCATTTAAATTTAAAATTACCTAAAACATACATTTGATTGCTTCTCAAGATTTCTTTTCATTTTCTCCAATTTTCGGATTATTTGTTACAAAATGTAAATAACATTTTCGTCGAGCATATGAATTCTTAATTAGTTACAAATTTTTTTATTTATTATAAGAATTTTTATTGCAAAGTAAAGCGTGAGAAATACACACTTGTATACCGATCATACTGCCACCAATCATATTTAAACAAACGCTGACCAGAAATATATTTGAAAAGGTGGACTCGATCAGTTCCGCGAATCTGCGAAATTACGAAATCTGAATATGATTAAAAGCAATTATGATTATATTATATATTTTGTTATGAAAAACATATTAACACGCACTGTATCACATGCAGATGCCTGCGCAAGCAGCTCAAAGCTCTGCTGTAATTATGATCTTTTACCTTGTCGGGCTTCAGCTCAAAACTATCATCGCTATCTTTGCCGATGTGTTCCAGCGTGTGTCTGGAAATCGCTCAAATGACAATGCTCTCTCGACGAGATTATCGAAATCGGATTATTTTATTCAAATTCAACTCGAGACAGCGAACGCTATCTTAATTTATCCATCTGTGATTTCGATTTCTAATTCGTCGTTCATGTTATATTCTTACCCAACAATCGCGAACATGCCGCACGCGTGGCGCACCAGAACAATGTAGAAGCTGTCGACCGCGATTGTGATACTGATGTGAGCGAACACGGCCAAGTAACAATGTATCGCCATTGGGTACAGGTACTGGCCTAATTTTTCGCCGTATTCCACGCGAAAAGGCAGTTTTGATCCTGCCACCAGGGTGGATATCGTCGCGTCCGAGGTATCCTCTATTAGTATCACCGCGAACGACTTAATTATGAGGAGAATTCCCACAAACTGCATGAAAACTGCAAATCGACGTACACATTACGCGTAGCAATCGTTCGAAATTCCGAGAAAGAAATTTCTCTACTAAAACTTGTATCTTTCTAGGACGTACCTCCGTATGTCAGCGTGATGTACCGGCCGTACGCAGTGTGTTGCTGCAATATAACCCTCTCCGCATCCGTATTCAACGACGACCAATCGTCCTCTATCGTCTTAAGACAAGTCTCTAACTATAAATATAGGCACGCGTATTTCCCGCGGGTCCAACTATCCTTACACCGAAAATTACATACTTCATGTTGATCGCGTCACTGAATTCGCACGCGATTATCACGTACTTTCCTATTGTTTGCCATCAAGCTCGCTATTTTAAAGCTGAATATTATAGTGATCCATATCGAGGGGGTGGACGAGAACACATCGTCGAGATTTGCCGCGGCGATTATCAGGTACAGCAGCTATGATAAAATTTATATTGCGGAATATATTGACGTGTATCTCGGTGACCATAAATGCGTCGATCGATGGATGTAAGAAAATTTAATTATCCAGCAATACAAAGCAGCGATGTATCAATAGATAATAAAATTTTGTACACCCCGATATTCACTTTAATAGCTCTTTTCTCCGTCGAATTTTTTTAATAAAAAAAGTGTACCTGAGGTACAAGAATACTGACGGAGAACGTAAACATGGGCACAAAGAGCAGATATTTAATATGAATCGCATGGTAAGGCCATATTCCTATCAGTCTCATGTATGCTCTCGGAATCGTATAATAGCGACTTTGCCAAATATCCTTCCGCTCGGCCATTTTCAGGAATACTAAGAGTACTAGAAACTATCAACGATTCTTTGTGAATGCTCGCTACTCGGTAAGATGCGGTGACATTGTTAACAATTCCTTGTGTCACAGCACGTGCGATCGTAATTACGACATTACGGAATTAATAAGCAATTATTTCCCCGCAATGTACTACTCTACTTCCCTTCCTGACGCTAATGCGTCAGTCTTTTGATCATGGCTTTTCTAAGAGCAAACTAACCCTTTCTCACTATAGTTTGCAATCGATAGTGCTTGCCATTCGCTTGGCTGAATTGGACATTCACGTCGCGACCGTGAAGATTTCGTCCTGCGCGATTAAATCGATTGTTGCGAAAAGAATGCAGCGCTGTTTTTCTGATATGACAATTACAATTTGCAAGCATAGTAAAAAGTGTGTGAAGTTTTTATCGTATATTTTTGATAATCAAAAAAGCCTAAATTAATCATCGCGAATTTATTATAAAGCACCGTGTGTTAATATAATCCTGAAGAGTTTTCTTAGCAAGGTGCGCGTTGAAATCGTCAATGGAAGGAGCGCAACATCGTAAAATAAGACATTGATGTTTTCAGAACCTTCGGAATAATAAAAGCATCATTATGGCGTTTCTTTAAAAAAAACTGCAGATACAATGCAAAAAAAATTAATAATGATACAATTTGCTCACCACGCTGAAGGTTTCGATGGATAAAGTTACCACTTTACCAGCAGTTATTCTGCACGGTAATATGGTTCTACTCATAATTAACAGTAGAAGTTTTCTACATCTGTCCGAAGTATTATACCAATTTCCCCTGCAACTACATTTCGAAATACGATTAATGCGTAAGTAGTAATAAAAACCAGGAACTTGTTGCATTTTCTTCTTCGTGATCGTATTTTAACAGGTAACATGAGCTTTCAAGAGAACTAAGAAAATTTTGATTTCTTACATTGATTCGTATGGAACTGCGCTGTAATCTAATAAAAATTGAGCCTGCCAAAACTGCAGAAAAAGATGACCGAGTTGAGCGATATAAATAGCGAGAGGTGCTATTATATCCTTCGCGTCGTTTAAATTTATCAACACCTAAAATATATATTTTTCGGATTAATTTTTTATATTGTCATTATATTTGAAAAGTGCAAAAAATGTATCCAAATAAGATAAACAATATTTTTCAAGTTTTAATTTTTTTAAATATTTATCAAATATTAATTTTTATTTAAAAATTTACGAAAAACGTTAAAATGTTTGTTATGAGAATCTCCATTGCTCAGTATAACATAAATTAATCAACACTTACTTGTATACCGCATATACTACCACCAACCATATTTAAACTAATGCTAACCAGGAATATTTTTGTAAATGTAGACTCAATCAATTCGGCGAATCTGCAATGCAAGTGGACGTGATAAAAAATCATAAAAAAATTACATGTAAAGTACATGCTGTTATACGACATTATACACACTTTATTATATCAAGATGTTTACGTAAGCATTTTAAAGCCTCGCTGTAATTGTCGTCTTTTATCTTGTCAGGCTTCAGAATAAAACTAGCGTCACTATCCTTGCCAATATTTTCCAGCGAATGTCTGGAAGACACTAAAATGATAATGCTCTTGGCAAATTATATTTCCAGATTGCAGAACGAGAATGATCGATTTTACCCAGATTGAACGAGAAGGATCGAGATTCGACGGAAAATGTGTCACAAATGTATTCACATGACATTGTTTACAACGCTCTATTATTTTAGTCTCTATTTTTGATCGTGGTATTCTTACCCAACGACTGAGAACATCCCGCAGGCATGCTGGACCAAGGAAATGTACAAGGTATCAGCCGCGACCGTGGCGGTCACGTGAGAGAATACGGTCAGATAACAATGGACCAATATCGGGTAAAAATACTGGTCTATTTTGTAGCCGTATTCCACGCGGAAGGGCAGCTTCGTCACGGCCAGTTTCGTCGAGTTCGAACTATCCTCTATCAGTATCAACACAATCGATTTGAGCATGTAGAGAAATCCCGTCAGCATCATAAAGGCTAGAAATCGGTGTACGCGTCATACAAAGAGTGTCACTCGAAGATTCGTTCGAAGCAAATTTTCCAATAAATTTCCGGCTTTACTCCCCACGAGAAGTTTTCCACCGAAATTTTTTTCTTACAACGCACCTGCATAAAATATCGTCAGATACTTTCCGTACACAGCGTGTTGCTGCAGAATAGCCTTCTCGCTATTTGTCAACGACAACCAATCGTTTTCTATCGTCTTAAGACAAGCCTTTATCTATAAATGTACACTCGCGTGTTTGTTCACAATATCGGCACAGTATGTATTATCAAAATGAATATAAAGATTTTAATTACGTAATTTTAATTGCATCAGTGGAATCGTATATAATCTTTACTTACTTTCTCACTGTTCATCATTAAGCTCGCTAACTTAAAACTGAATATTATCGTGATCAATATCGTTGGTATGCATTCGAACAGATCATCGAGATCCGTCAAGGCGATGAGCACGTACAATAGCTATGATATAGATTGCTATCGTCAATGTTATATAATATTTTGATAGTATTAATTATCGGTATATTAAAAGCTAGAGATTGAGATTTAAAATATTTATATCGTGTAAAGAAAAAAATGCATCTTTATACGAAAGGAATTAATTAGCAATTAAGAATTACCTTCTTGTTAGATGTTTTAAAATATTTGCAAATTTTCATACAAAAATATATAAAATATAAGATGTACATTTTACATAAAAAAGTTTACATAAAAGTACAAACTTTCGTAATATTTAGAAAGTGTCGTTATTCTTAATAAGAAGTGTACCTGAGGTATTAGGATGATCGAACAAATCGTGAATATCGGCACGAAGTGAAAGTATCTGTCGCAAATCGGATAATACGGCCATAGTCCTGCTAAAGTCATGTAGAATCTAGGAATCGTGTAATATCGACTTTGCCAAATGTCCTTACGCTGGGTCATTTTCAGAAATACTAAGAATGCAAACTGTGAACGATTCTTCGTGAGTGCTCGCTGCTAAGCGAGAAATACTCGGACATTATTAACAATTCCTTATGTCGCAAGATGGATGAGCGTAATTATGCCATCACGGAATAGTGAGAGATAATTATTCGCGCGGACACTGTAACCCTTTTCATCACCCCTTTTCATCATAATTGGTTACATAATCGATTCTTGTGCAGTATAGAAATAGCGTATTCTATCGCCCAAACGATTCGCAAGTCGAACTACAATGCATTCGCACGTCAAACTACAGTGTGTGCCTCGTGCTTGTGAAATGAAATAAGCTGTCGTGAGCAATAAACACAACAAACAAGAAGTAAAAATATATCAAATGTTATTAGCATAAAATCATGTGGTATAAATACGTTTTACAAAAATTATATATTTAATAAGGTTGATGGATAATGCCGATATTGTACTGTTTTGTGTTTAGTAAAATTTAAGATTTATTTTAACTTTGTAAATATAGAGAACGTACAAATCAGTACATATATATATGATGTGTCAGCTGGCAACAATTTTCTCTCATTCTTACACTGTCATATTGGAAGAGTTAATTAAATTTTTTTTAGCTAATTTATAATATTTATCTGCAAATAAATTATTTAAGATAAATAAGTCTAAGTTTATAAAAAATATGGAAGTCTTAGCTTTCAAAAAACACTTGTTTTAATTTTCTACAATTTTTCTATGCAAAGATATTGACGATTATATCAATCCGTATCAATCATATGTTGAGTGATCTAAGGCAGAACCGGCCGACTCTCGCTCGATTTTACTACTGCCGATCTATTTGCAGTAGCGTAATAATTACATAACAATATATGCATGTTACATATACGCATGCTTACACGCACATTACATTTATTCATATGTGATGCGTGCTGGATTTTTAAAACATTATAACGTTTTTTTGGTGAAAAATTGACGCAACGATATGCGACAAAAACTTTTATGCTTTACTTTTTTTGCAGAAACTTATGTTCAGATAACTTATATCCCTCTTATTGTGAGAGAGTCGGAAATTGGAGCAAAACATTTGATTATTTTGTATTTTTTGATAATAAAGAAATTATTATTTTGCGCTTTGACATCTGGCGCTGTGGTTCTTGCAGTCCTTCTTCTTTTGTTATAAATAATAATAATTCTTCTGTCTTTTTATTTCGCATATTTAACCATCCTAGAAATTTCAATAATTAGAAATAAATATCGATAGTCATCTTTATATATTTTTACGTATAAAAATGAACCACTCAAAAACAAGCTGCAACAATACATACATTCCTAAAGCCGGCTATACATACACGTTCCGATAAGTCTGTCAAGTATACCTACCGGAACGTAGGTAAATAATGTTTACGTACTTGCGATAACTATGCCGTTTTATCATCTCTCTGTTGCTAAATAAATTACAGTTTGCTTCTAAAGATTGGCATAATTATTTACGAATAGATGAAGAAATCTATTTAAAGCTCTTTTTTCGGCAAAAGAAGTCTAAATGGTATCACTGGCGACGCAGTGATTGAATTGAGTTTGCCACGCCGCTACACACGCTCCGGTTTATCTACACAGGCCACTCCGGCGCAGGTATATGATTTTTCGTATTTGCTCCAGTCACCTGCATAAATCAAAATAAATACACTTTTATCATCTACACGCTACGGGGGACCTATACAGGCATACCTGACAGGTGTACCGGAACGTGTATAGCCGGCTTTACGTAACAATTTATGCGCGCTACGCACGCTCACCCACACACTGCGTTTATTCATGTGCGATGCGTACCTGTTGGATTTTTACATTATAATGTTTTTGGTAAAAAATTGACGCAGCGATATGCGACAAAAACTTTTGTGCTTTGCATTTTGCAGAAACTTATGTTCAAATAGCTGATGTCCCTCTGATTGTGAAATTAAAGCAAAATGTTGTATTATTTTGTATTTTTGGATAATAAAAAAATTATTATTTTGCACTATGACATCCGCGCTGTGGTTTTCGTAGCCCTTCTTTTGTTAAAAGTAATACAACTTTTGTCTCTTTAATTCACATATTTAACTATCCTAAAAATTTCAATAATTAGAAATAAATATCGATAATCATCTTCATATATTTTTGTATAAAAATAAACCACTCAAAAACAAACTGCAACGATACATACATTCCTAACAAATGTGCGTCTTCCACAATTTTGTTTCATGTTGCAATATCAAGTTCTTACACTTATAATTTTATTTCTTCAGTTTTGCAGAATAAATACATTTCCTCTTTTTTCGCTCGAGACATTGTACCACATGTTTATTTCTCTCTTTCCCCGTTATCATTTTCTCCGCTTCTGATTTGCATTTTCGTAACTTTTACTGCAGCATAAGAAAATCATATTTCTAACGTTAAGTCAGTGGCACACGATGCGTTTTTGCCTGAAGGATTGCTTGCGAACTAGTAAATTGCTAAAAATGCTGTACGCTGTGTAGTACATTTCTAGTATTTTACCAGCTCGTAACCAATTCAGCAGACAAAAACGCAGCATGTGCCACTGGCTTTACAGACAAGCTATACTTAACTTAATTCTATTAAGTAGAGCTTGTCAAAGCGACATATGCCTACGTATTGTTTGTGACATCTGTGTATAGCTTTATCCTCCCCATCGGTTACTTTCGCAAGGGGATGATACGTCCCCTCGCAAAGAAGTGTCCCATGCGTGCGAAAAAACATGACTTCGATATTCAACACGCGTTATTACCGTGTAACGAAATTTTTTACTTCGCTGGTCGGTATATGGCCGTTACTATCGCAGTCCAGAAGAAGATTTCAGCAGTTGCTCAGTGTGTTCATAATGTTGACATTCTTTCCACCGCAGGTAAAGGAAGCGTGTATTTCTTATAAAGTAATATATGGTTCGAACTTTTAGAATGTGACAGGAAATCTGCGAAAATATTTAAATTCATTATTTGTGTGTGTTTTCGATACAGATAAAGAAATTGTATGACGTGTGGGGGGTAGATCTAGACACTGTGTGCGCAGGTATAGCGCCTATGGTGACCATTTTAATGAGCCTGGCTAAAGTCATTACTAGTGCTGCATTTCAACCAAAGGTACTAATTAAATTATTACATTTGCGCATACGTTTATTGATCAAAATTGCCGGGCACAAAGTATAAACAAAATTTAAATAAATTCCGAATTAAAAATCAACATACCTATGGAATGCTAGATAGAAATGTTATTACGTCAAATCGAAATGGACTGGGAGATAGATCCGGAAGGAGAGGAACATAAGATTTTAGTGAAATACTCGTTAAGAACGAGAACATTGAGCATCGCTTATTCAAGTAAGACAATTGACATAAGGAGTAGCGAATGTGTGTGATGTTACATCTGTCTTTTCAGCTATGTTGTGTAACGGAATCTTATCTTTTATCCTAACTCCTGTTATTGTGCCGATAATGGACATAATTGCACCAGAGAACGAAACGCGCGAGAAACATTTAGCTTTCGAGATGGAATACTTCGGTATTGATCAACAAGCCTATTGGCTATGGTTATGGCTACATACCAATACAACATCAGTGACATGTATATTAAATATCGTTGGAGCGGATCTGTTGTACGCTATGTTTATCCTTTACGCTTGCTATCTTTTTGTGTGTGTGCGGTAAGTGTTCAGCTTCTATTAATCGATATTTGAAATTCGAAGAGTAAGCTATTAATTGGCAGCATGATCTGAAACATCGAGATATTTGTTAAAAATATTCTCACATTCTGCGAGCATTTTAAATATCTTTGATTATATATATATATAATACTCAATAAATATCCAAACAGTTTTCATTAAATAAAAATTTTTTCAGTAAAAAAAGTTACTTCTTTTAAATTAAAAAAAAATTAAATAGGCTCACGAAACTTTAATTAATTTTTTTATTCCAAATAAATTATATAAACTGTATATACATATAAAGCAGAAAATAAAAGTAATTGTTGATTTAATTTGCAGACATAAATTGGAAAGCACTGCTAATACAATCGAACAAACTTTTGAAAATTCAATCATGCAACCTTTTGAAAATTATAATTCAAAATACGCATATGAAGATGAGCCATGGCAACTAAAATTAAAAAAAAGTGTCGCTATCATAAAAAAATGTGCCATTAGTCACCAGAAAGCGATAAAGTCAGTATATTTATGTATTTGTCCTTGACTAAGCACTTTTTTTGCTGAAAGAAAAACAATTCAAAATTAGCTAAAAAGTTTGTAATTTAAAAAATAGACCTAATGTTTTGTGTGCGTTTCTAAGACATCTAAAAAAATACATTTTAAAGACGTCTAAAAAAAAAACGTTTTAAAGACGTCCTTAAAAGATATCGTTAAGACGCCTTAAAAAAAAAAAAACTTTAAGATGTCTTAAAAAAGATGTTTTTAAGATATCCCAAAAAAGATGTCTTAAAAACATCCTAAAAAGGATGTCCTAAAAAATAAAAAAAATTATAATATATATTTAATTATAAATTTAATTATAAAGAAAATTAATTAAAATTAAGAAATATATTCTATAAAATATAACACACCACAATGGCTCGAAAATTATAAATTTTTTTCAACGTTGTGGCAACTTTTAAAATCTTTTTCGTTAGATATGTGCAAGAACTTCAGAACATTTATAGATGGGCTTTTTTCGCTATACTAGGTTGGAACTTATTTCTCCTAACTTTCTTGGCAGTTCAAGTAAGTCTAAAAATGTCTAAAGAAAGGAATTTTTATGCCTTGAACAATATTCTTTTTTTCCTCTTTAGCTAGTGAGTAGATTGGGCAATTGGCAATTGGTAATGATGTCCTTTATGTATATATGTGGTACACTGTCCCATTTGTTTTTTCTCAGTTTGATGGCGCAGTTTGTAATGGATGAAAGTTCGAATGTTTATGAATCAACGTGAGTAATTGAAACACTGTTATACGTACATCGGATCTTAAACGCGATAGGTTTGCAGGTATGCATGCTGTTGGTATGCTTTGCCTTTGGAGTGCCAGCAGAACGTTAAGTTGATTTTAATAAGAAGCCGTACACCATGCAGGATGATGGCTGGAAAAATGTTCGTAATGTCGCTAGAAAACTTTAGTTCGGTACGAATACTCGTAATAGAATTATTATTATTATTATTATTTATTGTTATATTTAAATATTATATTAAGTACCTAATCTTCCATTTAGATAGTGCAATCGGCAGTGTCCTATTTTACGGTACTACTATCTTTCCGATAAATTTTGATATCTTCGTTGTGTTAAAAAAATTAATATTTCATGCACCTTCCCAAAGAATAAAAATAACCAATTAATAAAATATTTATTTAATTTCCACCTTATTATTATTATTTCCAATTTATTTAATGTCCATCTGAACACATTTAAAATAAAGTATTTATATTTAATATTTTCATAGTTTATTTGTTGAATACTTATTCATTACAAAATATTGTTTGTATGTTGTAATTGCATTTCATAATTTTATACTTAACTTGCTAAAACTTAACATTTTAGAATGTAAAAAAGCTTTTAATATATAATAATATTAGCTAAAAATAAAAATATTACTGAAGTATTTGTACAATAATTTCTAACAAATTAAATTGTGCAATTTTTGTTCCAAATAATATTTTTCTACTTAAAAAATTAACAATTACTAAACTGTGTAAATAAACATTAGAAATGTTAAAATGTAAATAATTATACAAAAATGAAAACAAAAATTAACTATATAAAAAAGAATTTATTAGATACTGACGTGATTGGCAATAATATGTTGATTTAGCATATTTCGCAAAATTTTTACGTCGTCATCGAGCGTAACAATATAAAATATGACAATGATGTACGAATCACCTTAAGTAAGATTTTATTATTGTAGAAAAATCTCATGAACGTTCTTACAATTTGTTATATTCAGTTTTATAAAAAAATAATAAAATAATTGCATACTTACTGCGTTGAAAGTTACGTATAACAATACCAAGAATTTACTGGTCATTAATACCATTGGATTTATACCTCTCATCATAATAAACCGAAAAAGCTTTCTTGAAGCTATCAGCATGTTATACCAGTCTGAATTATATCTGAAAATTATGTGAGATTTCATATTTATGCTATTTATTTACTTATTAATTTACAATTTTTCAAATATGTTGCAAAAATATGTGTATTTTGCAAGAAAAATTAATATTGGACGTACGTGAAAGTAAAAACTTTCTCACTGGAATCTATGATTCTCTGACCTTGCCAATTTTCAAAAAATACTTTGATCAAAAGAGCATTCAGGAAACTACTGTTTTTCAAAAAATGATTAGTGTCTTCCATGCTTGTTACCACTTGACATATAAAAGTATAACATAAATAAAATGTAATAATTAATAATTAAAGTAAATTTTTTAAATTGTTTGTTTAATACTTTGTATAATATTATACATAGACGTCTTTTTAAGACGTCCTAAAAAATATTTTTTTCTCTACAGGTATACATTTCCATTACTTTGTTCTTGGATGTAATTTTTGAACAGTACAATTTCGTTAGTAAATATTGTCAAAATGATGGACATGTATATATCGATTGCTAATATGTCACGCATGCATTTCCTCGTGATCTCCTCTCAAGCATTTCACATGCGTATTAATATGCGATATGACCCGCGTTATACTGTAATGAAACTATTCGCTTCACAAGTTGCTTTGTGCTTGTAATCAATCGCAACTTATTAGAATAATCGAATCGTTCAGCATATTCATGTCATTGTAGGTTCCATATTAGGAGTAATAAGGTTGGCATATACATACATGCCATACGGAATATATTCTTGGTTAACGCATTTTTGAACTGCAATTTCTGTAGCCTATTACGAGCGGATTTTTTTTCACAAAAATATTAAGGTGTTTTTAATTTTTCTTATTAGAGATGCATCATTTATCAATATTGATAAATTTGCAAATATTCGTGTTATTGCTATATGCCTATAAAATCCAAAGGAATAAAAAATTGTTCATAATGTCATCAAAGAAGTTTTTTGTGCATGTATATTTCTAATCAAAATTGTGATTAATTGTAAATTTAAATTTTATATAATCATCTCAATAATCTTCCGTTTAAATGGTGCAGATAGCAGAGTCGTATTTTATGATATTGGCATCCATTGAATAAATTGCGTAATCTTCATTGAAATTAAAAAAATTAAATTTTGTAAAAATAATATATTATAATGCGTCTCCTAAAAAATAAAATAACTAATTAATAAAATGTCTATATTTCTTGCCTTAATACATTTAAGATAATATATTGATAATTAATACTTTTACAATTTATTTGTTAAATATTTGTTTATTGTAGAGTAACGTTAAGCATTTTATATTTTTATATTTAAAATAATACAATTTTAAAACATAAGAGATATTCCTATAGATGATAATACTACCTGAAATACAAATATTATTAAAATATTTATATACAAATTTCCAGCAAATTAAATTGCGAAATTATTCTTCCAAATAATATTTTTCTAGCCAGAAAATTAACAATTATGTTGTACCTTTATTTAATTACAATATTAACTATATAAAAAAGTAATTATCACATACACGATGATCAATAATATGTAAATTTAGCTTACATTGCTGAAAAACTTTTATGACATAGACCGCAGTAGCATGAAGTATGACGATGATGTGCGCATTATCTTAAACAAGATTATTCCTTCATAAAATTTAAAAAAAAATTACTCGCAATTGCACAATACATTGCACAATAATATAAACTATGATAAAATAGGCATACTTATCCCGTTAAAAGTTACATATGATAATAGCATGAATTTACCCGACGTTAATATCAACGGCTTCTTACTTTTCATCATGATCAATACAAGAAGCTTTCTTGCAGCTGTTGGCATGTTATACCATTTAGCATTATATCTGAAAATTTTCAGATATTGTTCGCAAAGGTATACGTTTTCTGTAAAAAGCAAAAGTTTATTAAGAATACTTCTTTACAAAAGTTTTGTTTCGTGCACCCTTTCGACAGAAAAATTTGTCGTTATATCTATGATTTTGTGCAGTTCGGTATGTCTGGTTTGTATGTCTGGTAAATAAAATAAGCTGTCGTGAGCAATAAACAGAACAAACAAGAAGTAAAAATACATAAAATGTTATTAGCATAAAATCATGTGGTAGAAATACGTTTTAAAAAGAGTATATATTTAATGAGGTTGATGGATAATGTCGATACTGTACTGTTTTGTGTTTAGTAAAATTTAAGATTTATTTTAACTTTGTAAATATAGAGAACGTACAAATACGTCAGTACATATATATTTCATGTGTCAGCTGGCAACAATTTTCTCTCATTCTTACATTGTCATATTGAAAGAGTTAATTAAATTTTTTTTAGTTAATTTATAATATTTATTTGCAAATAAATTATTTAAGATAAATAAATCTAAGTTTATAAAAAATATGGAAGTCTTAGCTTTAAAAAAACACTTATTTTAATTTTCTACAATTTTTCTATGCAAAGATATTGACGATTATATCAACTTGCTTCAATCATATATTGAGTGATCTAAGGCGGAGCCGGCCGACGGGCAAGCCGGCAGACTCTCGCTCGATTTTACTACTGCCGATTTATTTGCAGTAGCGTAATAATTACGTAACAATTAATGCACGTTACATATACGCATGCTTACACGCAAATTGTGTTTATTCATGTGCGATGCGTGCTGGATTTTTAGAACATTACAACGTTTTTTTGGTGAAAAATTGACGCAACGATATGCGACAAAAACTTTTATGCTTTACTTTTTTTGCAGAAACTTATGTTCAGATAACTTCTATCCTTCTTATTGTAAGGGAATCGGAAATTGGAGCCAAACATTTCATTATTTTGTATTTTTTGATAATAAAGAAATTATTATTTTGCGCTCTGACATCTGGCGCTGTGATTCTTGTAGCCCTTCTTTTGTTAAAAATAATACTTCTGTCTTTTTATTCCGCATATTTAACCATCCCAGAAATTTCAATAATTAGAAATAAATATCGATAATCATCTTCATATATTTTTGTATAAAAATAAACCACTCAAAAATAAACCGCAACGATACATACATTCCTAACAAATGTGCGTCTTCCACAATTTTGTTTCATGTTGCAATATCAAGTTCTTACACTTATAATTTTATTTCTTCAGTTTTGCAGAATAAATACATTTCCTCATTTTTCGCTCGAGACATTGCACCACATGTTTATTTCTCTCTTTCCCCGTTATCATTCTCTCCGCTTCTGATTTGTATTTTCATAACTTTTACTGCAGCATAAAAAAATCATATTTCTAACGTTAAGTCAGTGGCACACGATGCGTTTTTGCCTGAAGGATTGCTTGCAAACTAGTAAATTGCTAAAAATGCTGTACGCTGTGTGGTACATTTCTAGTATTTTACCAGCTCGTAACCAATTCAGCAGACAAAAACGCAGCATGTGCCACTGGCTTTACAGACAAGCTATACTTAACTTAATTCTATTAAGTAGAGCTTGTCAAAGCGACATATGCCTATGTATTGCTTGTAACATCTGTGTATAGCTCTATCCTCCCCATCGACTTTCGCAAGGGGATGATACATTCTCTCGCAGAGAAGTGTCCCATGCGTGCGAAAAAACATGACTACGTTATTTGATACGCGTTATTACCGTGTAACGAAATTTTTTGCTTCGCTGGTCGGTATATGGCCGTATCTGTCGCAGTTCAGAAGAACATTTCAGCAGTCGCTCAGTGTTTTGATAATGTTGACATTCTTTCCAGCGCAGGTAAAGGAAGCGTATATTTCTTATAAAGTAAATTATATGGTTCGAACTTTTAGAATGTGACAGGAAATCTGTGAAAATATTTAAATTCATTATTTGTGTGTGTTTTCGACACAGATAAAAAAATTGTATGACGTGTGGGGGGTAGATCTAGACATTGTGTGCACATGTATAGCGCCTATGATAGCCATTTTAGTGAGCATGGCTAAAGTCATTACTAGTGCTGTATTTCAACCACAGGTACTAATTAAATTATTACATTCGCGCATACGATTATTGATCAAAATGGCCGGGCACAAAGTATAAACAAAATTTAAATAAATTCCGAATTAAAAATCAACATACCTATGGAATGCTAGATAGAAATGTTATTACGTCAAATCGAAATGGACTGGGAGATAGATCCGGAAGGAGAGGAACATAAGATTTTAGTGGAATACACGTTAAGAACGAGAACATTGAGCATATTTTACACAAGTAAGACAAGTGACATAAGGAGTAGCGAATGTGTGTGATGTTACATCTGTCTTTTCAGCTATGCTGTGTAACGGAATCTTGTCTTATATGTTAACTCCTGTTATCGTGCCAATAATGGACATAATTGCACCAAAGAACGAAACGCGCGAGAAACATTTAGCTTTCGAGGTGGAATACTTCGGTCTTGATCAACAAACCTATTGGGTATGGTTATGGCTACATAACAATACAACATTAGTGACATGTGTATTAAATATCGTTGGAGCGGATCTGATGTACGTTATGTTTATCCTTCACGCTTGCTATCTTTTTGTGTGTGTGAGGTAAGTGTTCAGCTTCTATTAATCGATATTAGAAATTCAAAGAATAAGCTATTAATTGGCAGCATGATCTGAAAGATCGAGATATTTGTTAAAAGTATTCTCACATTCTGCGGGCATTTTAAATATCTTTGATTATATATATATAATACTCAATAAATATCCAAACAGTTTTCATTAAATAAAAATTTTTTTAGTAAAAAAAGTTACTTCTTCTAAATTAAAAAAAAATTAAATAGGCTCACGAAACTTTGATTCATTTTTTTACTCCAAATAAATTATATAAACTATATATACATATAAAGTAGAAAATAAAGGAATTGTTGATTTAATTTGCAGACATAAATTAGAAAGCACTGCTAATACAATCGAACAAACTTTTGAAAATTTAATCATGCAACCTTTTGAAAATTGCAATTATAATTCAAAATACGCATATGAAGATGAGCCATGGCAACTAAAATTAAAAAAAAGTGTCGCTATCATAAAAAAATGTGCCATTAATCACCAGAAAGCGATAGAGTCAGTATATTTATGTATTTGTTCTTAACTAAGCATTTTTGTTGCTGAAAGAAAAACAATTCAAAATTAGCTAAAAAGTTTGTAATTTAAAAAATAGATTTAATGTTTTATGTGCGTTTCTAAGACATCTAAAAAAATACATTTTAAAGACGTCTTAAAAAAAAAACGTTTTAAAGACGTCCTTAAAAAAATATCTTTAAGACGTCTTAAAAAAAAAAAAAAAACTTTAAGATGTCCTAAAAAAGATGTTTTTAAGATATTCTAAAAAAGATGTCTTAAAAACATCCTAAAAAGGACGTTCTAAAAAATTTAAAAAATAACGTCTCAAAAATGCAATTCCGTTAATTATAATATATATTTAATTATAAATTTAATTATAAAGAAAATTAATTAAAATTAAGAAATATATTCTGTAAAATATAACACGCCACAATAGCTCGAAAATTATAAAACTTTTTTAACGTTGTAACAAATTTTTTAATCTTTTTCGTTAGATGTGTGCAAGTACTGCAGAACATTTATAGATGGTCTTTTCTCGGTATATTAGGTTTGAACTTAATTGTCCTAAGTTTCTCGGCAGTACAAGTAAGTCTAAAAATGTCTATAGAAAGAAATTTTCATGCCTTGAACAATATTCTTTTTTTCCTCTTTAGCTAGTGAGTAGATTGGGCAATTGGCAATTGGTAATGATGTCCTTTATGTTTATATCTGGTACACTGACCCATTTGTTTTTTCTCAGTTTGATGGCGCAGTTTATACTGGATCAAAGTTCGAATATTTATAAATCAACGTGAGTAATTGAAACACTGTTATACGTACATCGGATGTTAAACGCGATAGGTTTGCAGGTATGCATGCTGTTGGTACGCTTTGCCTTTGAATAGCCAGCAGGACGTTATGTTGATTTTAATAAGAAGCCATACACCATGCAGGATAATGGCTGGAAAAATGTTCGTAATGTCGCTACAAAACTTTAGTTCGGTATGAATACTCGTAATAGAATTATTATTATTATTTATAGTTATTTAAATATTATATCATTAAGTACCTAATCTTCTATTTAGATAGTGCAATCGGCAATGTCCTATTTTACGGTACTAGCATCTTTCCGATAAAGTTCGATATCTTCGTTGTGTCAAAAAAATTAATATTTTATGCACTTTTCCAAAAAATAAAAATAACTAATTAATAAAATATTTATTTAATTTTTATATTATTATTATTATTCCCACTTTATTTAATGTCCATCTGAACAATTTAAAATAAAGTACAGAACAGTTTAAAATAAAGTATTTATATTTAATATTTTCATAGTTTATTTGTAGAATACTTATTCATTACAAAATATTGTTTGTATGTTGCAATTGCATTTCATAATTTTATACTTAACATGCTAAAACTTAACATTTTAGAATGTAAGAGAACTACATGACATACGGAATATATTCTTGGTTAACGCATTTTTGAACTGCAATTTCTGTAGCCTATTACGAGAGGATTTTTTTTCACAAAAATATTAAGGTGTTTTTAATTTTTCTTATTAGAGATGCATCATTTATCAATATTGATAAATTTGTAAATATTCGTGTTATTGCTATATGCCTATAAAATCCAAAGGAATAAAAAACTGTTCATAATGTCACCACAGAAGTTTTTTGTGCATGTATATTTGTAATAAAAATTGTGATTAATTGTAAATTTAAATTTTATATAATCATCTCAATAACATATATAATAATCAATATAATAATCTTCCGTTTAAATGGTGCAGATAGCAGTGTCGTATTTTATGATATTGGCATCTTTTGAATAAATTGCGTAATCTTCATTGAAATTAAAAAAATTAAATTTTGTAAAAATAATAATATATTATAATGCGTCTCCTAAAAAAATAAAATAACTAATTAATAAAATGTCTATATTTCTTGCCTTAATACATTTAAGATAATATATTGATAATTAATACTTTTATAATTTATTTGTTAAATATTTGTTTATTGTAAAGTAACGTTAAGCATTTTACATTTTTATATTTAAAATAATACAATTTTAAAACATAAGAGATATTCCTATAGATGATAATACTACCTGAAATAAAAATATTATTAAAATATTTATATACAAATTTCCAGCAAATTAAATTGCGAAATTATTCTTCCAAATAATATTTTTCCAGCCAGAAAATTAACAATTATGTTGTAGCTTTATTTAATTACAATATTAACTATATAAAAAAGTAATTATCAGATACGCGATGATCAATAATATGTAAACTTAGCTTACTTTGCTGAAAAAACTTTTATGACATAGACCGCAGTAGCATGAAGTATGACGATGATGTGCGCATTATCTTAAACAAAATTATTCCTTCATAAATTAAAAAAAAAAAAATTACTCGCAAGTGCACAAGAATATAAACTATGATAAAATAGACATACTTACCCCGTTAAAAGTTACATATGACAATATCATGAATTTACCCGCCGTTAATATCAACGGCTTCTTACTTTTCATCATGATCAACACAAGAAGCTTTCTTGCAGCTATTGGCATGTTATACCATTTAGCATTATATCTGAAAATTTTCCAAGATTTCATCTTTATATTTATATGCTAATTGTGTTATTACACACTTTCATAAGTCTGCAATTCACAAGTTCGCAATTTTGCAAATGTATCTTTGATATTGTACGTACGCAGCATCGAACACTTTCTCACTGGAATCTATAATTCTTTGACCTTGCCAATTTTCAAAAAATACGTTGATCAAAAGTGAGTTCAGAAAACTGATATGTTTCAAAAAGCGATTAGTATTTTCCGTGCTTGTTACCACCTACCACATAGCAAATGTAATATACAAATAAATCGTGGTAATTAGTAAATAAATTGAATAATTAATTAAATGTTACTAAATAATTGTTAAATAATTTGTATAATACCAAATAATAAGTGTCTAATAAGTGTCACACAGGTATAGAAATGTTCATTACGTGTACCTGATATTCAAGAATACCTAAAACTAATATTGATAATCCCAAATGTGCAAAAAGAGATGGGCTGTATACTGCATTCATCATATTAACAAATCTAGTATATAACATATATATAAAAATTTATTATTATTACTTATAAAAATAACACGCATGTCCATACGCAAACATATACTTACTCTATCGTCTCTGCGTGTCTTCGAAAACTACAAGCCACATTTAAGTAGGATTTGTCTTTCTTAAATGTTTTCGTCGGAGAATCATAGTCATTTTCGGATAATGTATTTTCTAAACGGTAACTAAAGCTTATATTTATCGCAAATTAAATAAATTATTCTTTGAATATATCAATCGTTCAATTATTCACAGTAAATACATATTTTTACAAAGACAATGCACTCGAATTTTTATTTTGTGAAGGCAAAATCCATTCTTACCTAAGTACCGCAAACAAACCGCGGCAGTGTTCGACCATTGCTATACTTAGTATGTCCAATGTAACTGCCAGAAGTATGTTAAAAGAAAGGCATAGAGATGTATGAATATAAATCAGAGGATAATACGTATCAAAATCCACTATATAATTGACACGATAAACTACTCCTACTTGGGCTTCATTTAATAACGTGTCGTTTTTATTGGATTTTATGTGTATAAATCTTGTTATGCATACCGTAATATAAAAAATAATTACGTTGCCAGTTATAAAATCTAATTCATACAAAAACACAAAATTATGTGGATGGTATTCTTTCTACTTATCGATATTAAAAACTTTTATATTTATCACAATTGCTTTTTTTTTTTAAATATGTAGCAGTATTATAAAATGCCAAAAATCGCTAAAAATTATCCAAATAAAAATATACTCCAAACTCCTTATTGCTATTGTTTTTTACTATTATTACCTACTATTCATCATTATTATACATACACAAATAAGCGGTGGCCATTTTTTGTCCATATATGGTGTACGAGTTGTGTATTTCACATTCTTTGTTCGATTTTGGGGAAAGATTGTATTCTTGCATCTTTATTAATAGTAATTTTATCTGCAACTCAGTAATTTAAACGATCAAAAATTACATACTTATTTTCCGATCTTTTTCCTATCATAATTTTTATTTATTAAAATAACTAATGTTATTTTCATATTAACGCACCTTGGGAACCATATACACTCCGCAGATCATTTTACATATGACTGTTAAAACGAGAAATAAAAAAGTTAAAGAATCGACTAGTTCGAAAGGATCTTGCCAAGCATCTATTGTGCCCAATATCTGTATTTCATGAATTACATTGCGCATATAACATGTAACAAGCACACATAATTTTAATTAAAATATTCAATCATAAATTATATTAATTTTATCAGATGTATTTAAAACAAATGTTAAACTTCGTATATGTATAGTATAAATGTCGTGAGACATACAAATTCTGTTATTGGAAATAATATTTAATTCCTCCATCTTTTAATCGTACAATTATAAAATACTTAATAATAAAATAGTGTACACATGGAGACTTTAAAAATGAAAAATGTTTTTCTCAAGTATACCTGAAATATGAATCCAGATCCAAATACCAATATCATTGTGATATATATCATGTAGCGTTTGATTTTCGTGTCAAATGGCCACAGACCATAGATACTTAACAGTATCCGATTGATACTGTAATGCGAATTTTGAAAAAAATTATCAACATCCATTTTACTTCTTATTTATCACTACTATTACTTTATGATTCAGTCCCTACGGTGCAGTTTGATCTTTTTGCCGTGGACTATACATTCGTGCACGTATTGTGTAATGCATGGAGACAATAGAGCGTATTTATATATTTTTTTATTTACTATCCCCCCCACTGTCCCCCCAATTTACCATCTACAAATGTACATTTCCATCATCCATGTCAACGTAAAATTTAGATTTTGAAAGTACAAGTTTGTTAAATACAACTTGTCCGAATGACGGACATGTATTGATTGCTGGTATACCATCCGTACGCGTACATCATTCCTTCGTGATCTTCTTTCAAACATTTCCAATACACTCGCATATTGTCATGCTGCGATATTTGACGCTCGTTAATATTAATAAATGTAACGATACTATTTCGCCTTGCTAGCAAGTTTATGGCAGTATTGGACTTGCAACTTAAAAAAAAAATTATTTCATCGTTCAGCACATTGTGAATTCAGTTATCTGATAACTTACGTACATCACTCGCTCTTGCAGTTTATATACATATAATAGTACAGTTGTTTAAATGTTTAAAATGATTATGTTAATTTAAAATTTAACCCTTTGTACTCCACAGGCGCCGCTACGGCGACATACATAATAAGCCATTAGTGTAAATGTTTTAAAATAATAAGAGAGATTCAATTTAATATGCCTGATAAAAATATCCAATTATCAGTATAAATAAGCTACGTGTACGTCGTGTAGCGTTTGACTTTTGTCTGACTGGACCAGTCAAGGACAACAGAATCCGATTGATACTGAAAAGTGGATCCTGATAAAACTCTTCAAAATTTATTTTGTTTCTCATCTTTTACTACTGTTACTATAAAATAAAATTCAATCTTTATGTTAGAGATTCAATTGATAAATAAGTATACTTTTTCATCATAAGTTGCAAGATACGCATATAATTAATACGTCTCTCGCGTAAAAACCGATGCAGAAGAATAAAGGATTGTGTTTATATGCACTTTTCTATTTACCACCACCAAACCCCTATTAATTTATGTTTCCATCATCCTTATTGCAAAACGTAAAATTCATTCTTTGAACATACTTAAGCAGCTTGTTAGAAGGTCGGTTATGTATGTGTGTATTGACTGTTGTGCTGTTACTCACACAGATGCATCACTCCCTCGTGGTTTTCTTTCATACACTAGCAATACGCTCGCATACTAACATAAATGCTACACATACCATGCTATTACCTTATAATTATTTGTCTCGTTGATAGGTTTATTAGCAAGTAGAAGTATAAAAGACTCATTCAACCAATATATTCGTAATGTCCACGTGGGTTCCATGTTAGGTAAAAATAATGCAACGTTTTTTATACTATGTGAAATATTTTTACACTGTTAAATTCCAGCGAATAAAATAAAAATACTTAACAATTTATACAATATATATAAATAAAAAAATATAAGAATAATAATAGAAAATAAATATATAAAATATATATGTAGAAATTCAGTATCGAAATTAAATATCACGTCGTGTACAGCAATCGCTTTTGGTTGAAGCGTGCCGCAGCAAAAGGGTTAAATATTTGCATTATATTTTTTAACGAATGTAAAGTTTTTGTTATAACATAATTTTTCTTTTTGCTGAAAAATATATAAAGTAACGAAAGTTTCAGTTTTATTTAACTCTTTATACAAAGAAAGTAATTGTGCAACACTAAAACACAATAAACAATAATATATAAATATAATTTATTATTAATACAGAAATATATATTATTTCAAAATTTTACGACAAAGACTGTAGTAGCATGAAGTAAGATGATGTAGTACGCATTATCTTAAATAAAATTATATTTATAAAAAAACTGCAAATGCTTGCAATTTTTATAGTCAATAATATAAATTATTTTAAATTAAGTACACTTACCGCGTTGAAAGTTACGTATGATAATGCCATAAATTTACCAGCTGTTAATACCATTGGTTTTATACTTTTTAGCATAATCAATACAAGAAGCTTTCTTGCAGCTAGCGGCATGTTATACCATTCTGCATTATATCTGCAAATTTAACGAAATTTTTCATTCTATTATATGTTCTTTTTCATGTAATTATATTTTGATGAGTTTATATAGCTCGCAATTTCGCAAATACTTTCTTGATATTGTACATACGCGGATTCGAATACTTTCTCGCTAGAATCAATAATTTTCTGACCTAGCCAATTTTCAAAAAATACATTGATTATAAGTCCGTTTAAAAAACTAATATATTTTAAAAGACGATTAATGTTATGCATGTTTGTTGCTACCTAGATAACAAAATACATAAGTGATAATAAATAATTAAACTAAATAGTTATTTTAATAAATAATTAAAACCATAAATACCTGATATTCTACAATACCTAAACCTAACATCATTCCTCCCATGTGCATAAAGAGAGGTGGACTGTATGCTGAATTTATAAGATTAAGAAATCTAATATAACATATATAAAAATGTAAATGTATTGTTGTCACTCACGTAAAAGATAAATATCTTTTCATGTACGTACTGTATTGTCTCTGTATGTCTTCGGATACTGTATACCATATTTAAATAAAATTTATTTCTCGTAAATGTCTTCGTTGAACCGTAATTATCATTTTCAAGCAACAATGCATTTTCCAAGCGGTATCTAAAGCTCATTAATTCAAAATTAAAAAGTTGCTGTTATAGTTTAAAAAACAGATCGTTCAGTTATTTGCAATAAATGAGAATTTTCATAAATTTCGTGCACACAATTTCGTATTTGGTAAACTTATAAAATCTATTAGACTCACTTGACAGCCGCAAACATACCGCGACAGTGTTCGATGAGTGTTATATACAAAACATCAAGCGTAACTGGAAGAAACACATACCACACGATACAAAAAGTGGTGTGAATAAAAATTATTGCGTAATATTTATCAAAATCAATCACGTAATTGACGCGATAAGCTACTCCAATTTGGGTGTGTTCGTTTGATGACGTATCGTTTTTTTCGTCTTTTGTACGCATAAGCCTTGTCAATAATGTTGCAACATTGAAAAGAATACTGTGGCCAAGTACAATATCTATTTATAAAAACACTAATTGTTATAATGTTTATATTTTATCATTATCATCATCAAAAATTACATGGTAATTATTTACAATAATGACAAAAGTCAAGTGTTCTTCCGAGATATTTAAAAATAGTAAAATAACAAATGTAAAGTTTAAAACTATTTCAAAAATAAAATTTGCATAAAAATATGCAAAAAAAACTTTATTATTGCACTATACTACAGTTACATAAAAGCATTATACATACATGTATAAGCGTAACTCAAGTTTCGTCCAAACATCGCGTGCAAGTTATGTATCTTATGTTCCTCGTTCGATTTGGAAATAAGAGAGTACTCTTGTATTTTTATAAGAAGCAATTTTATCTGCAACTCCGAGACGGAACTTGTTATTGTAACAAATAAAAGTCATAAGATTATTTTAAGATCATATTGTCAGTATTGTAATTATTATCTATAAACATGAACAACTCTTACTAACGCACTTTCGGTAACATGTAGACCGCGAACATCATTTTACATATGACCACTATACCAAGAAGAAGGAATGGCAAAGTATCGATTATTTCGAAAGAATCTTCCCGTACTTCTATTGCACCCATTACCTATTTTTGACGAATTATATTAAGCATATGTCATGAAAAAGTCATACATAATTTTCATTAAATTGTCCAACTATTAATCATTTCAATTTTGTCAAATGTACTTAAAAATGAATTTAAAGTTGGAATAAGAACATGCAGTGACTGAAAAATTTAATTAGCAAGAATATTCAATTTTCACTTTTCCTCTTGAAGCTATAGCTATAATAAAATATCAAAAAGTGCTAAAAAGCGTATGCATGATGTTTCAGAATAATAGAAGATTTCTTTTTAATATACCTGAAAAATAAATCCAGATCCAATTATCAATACAAGTGCAAAATATATCACGTAGCGTTTAATTTTTGTATGAAAAGGCCATAGACCATTTATACTTAATAAAATTCGACTAATATTGTAATGCGAATTTTGGAAAAACTGGTCGATATCCATCTCGCTTCTTATTTACTACTATTACTATATATAATAAAATTCAATTGCTAAAGTATAGTTTTAATTACTAAATAAATATGTTTTCTTGGAGCTACGAAATGCGCGTATCATGAATACGTTTACTTCGTGAAAACAAAAGCAAGACGACAATAGATTGTGCTATAGATAGTACATTTTTTCATATATTATTACCAACAATTTTTCCGCTATCGGTTTACGTTTCTAACCCCCTTATTGTAAAATATATAATTTTAATTTCAAGCAATTTTGTTAAACACAGCTTGTCAAGATAATGGATACATGCGTATCCTCCATTGCGGATTACCGTACTGTCACTCACACTGACGATATATTCCCCTTGTTGATCCTTTCAGAAATTGCCAATAGACTAGCGTACTAACACCAGTGCGATATTTTATATATGCTATTATGAAAACGAAACTGTTTCCCTTGTTAGTAGGTCTATAGCCATAGAAGAAAACACTTCCAATTGTGCGTGTGTGTTGGATCAACATGTTCCAGTATCTTTCATATCAGGTAAAAAAATGTATATTTCATAAAATGTTTATTACTGTGTAAAATGTCTTCATAAACATATTAAATAAGTTAAAAAAGATTTATTCTCGAGCAAATTAATTCCGAAAAAAATGGATTTAACGTTTTAAAAAGAATAGAAAATAAATCGATGTATTCAAACTTATTGTTCATTTTTTAAAATACAATTAAGATATAATTAAAATTGTTAAGTATTTATATTTTATTTGTCAGAATTTACGTTATAACATTTTTATAAAATAACAACGTTAATTTGGAATAAAAATTTTCTTTTAAATATTTGCATGATAATTTCTAATGAACATGTGAAGTCTTTGTTATAAAATAATTTTTCTTTTCTCCGCAAAAAATTATTAAGTAATAAAAATTCGTTTAATTTAACGTTATATAATATAGTTTATTATGTACAAAATTTACGTCATATTTCGCAGTAACATAAAGTATGACGATGAAGTACGTATCACCTGCAAAATAAAATTGCATTTGCGTCGAAAAATCAACAAATGCTTGCAATTTCTTATACATAAAATATAAATTATTTTAGAATTGATACACTTACTGCGTTGAAAGTTATGTATGATAATATCATAAATTTGCCGGCTGTTAATATCATTGGCCTTAGACTTCTCATCATAATCAATCTCAGAAGCTTTCTTGCAGCTATCGGCATGTTATACCACTCTATATTACATCTAAAAATTTGGCAATATTTCATTTATACTATAATATGTTCTTTTCTTCATTACGCGATTACATTTTCATGAATCCAAAAAGCTCATAATTTCGCAAATAATTTTATTCTTGATATTGTACATACACGGATGCGAACACTTTCTCGCTGGAATCAATGATTCTTTGACCTTGCCAATTTTCAAAAAATATATTGATTAAAAGACCGTTCATATAAGCAGCATGTTTCAAAAAACGATTAATGTTGGCCGTTGTTATTATCTAACAGACAGCGAATGAAAAATTCATAAATTCATAATGTAAATTTATAAATGTAATTAAATTTAAATAATTAATTTTACTAAATAATTATTGAATAGTTTGTGTATATAAAATTATGTCTAACAGATATCACATAGTAATATAAAAATTTTTGTTTATACCTGATATCCTAAAACACTTAAAATCAATATGCTGAATCCAATTTGTACAAAAAGAGGTGGACTGTATACTGTATTCATAATGTTAATAAATCTAGCATAATACAAAGATGGCATGTACAAAAATGTCAATTTCTTATTGTAGTTAGCAAAAAAGATAAATATCCATTCATATACCTACTGCAAAGTTTCTGTATGTCTTCGAATACTGTACGTTACATTTGAATAAGATTTATCTCTCGTAGATATCTTTATTGAATCATAAGTATCATTTTCAAACAACAGTGCACTTTCCAAACGATATCTATAAAGTTCATATTTGTTTGAAATTAAAAAAGTTATAATTTTAATATATGGATCATTGAACTACTTGCAATAAATATAAATTTTTACAAAGGCCGTCCATACGATTTTATGTTTTGTTAACTCACAATTTCCAACTGACTCACCTGACAGTCGCGAACAAACCGCGACAATGTTCGACAAATGTTATATACAAGACGTCAAATGTAACTATAAGAATTATATAACATAGGGTGCATAGACTGGTATGAATAAAAATTGGAACGTAATATGTATCAAAATCAACGAAGTAATTGACGCGATAAGATATTCCAATTTGAGCGCTTATTATTTCATCTGATGACGTATCGTTCTTTTCGACTTGTGTATGCATAAACCTTGTCAATAATGTTGCAGTGGTGTAAAGCAAATTGTGGCCAAGTATGACATCTATTTATATGAAAACATTAAACGCTATAATTTTTAAATTTATAATTATCACCATCAAAAATTACGTTAAAATTATCGACAGAAAAATAGACAAGTCCTTTAAAGATATTCAGAGGTATTATAAAAAAATAAATGTAAATTTTAAAATTGTTTCAAAAATAAAATTTACAAAACAAATAAGCAGAAAACTTTTTTTTGCATTGTAGTAACGTCAAAGTTCAACTTTCATACATACATGTGTAAATGTAGCCAAAGTTTCGTCCAAATAGAGCGTGCGAATTTTGTATTTTATGTTCTTCATTCGATTTGGCGGAAAGAGAATACTCTTGTATCTTTATAAGAAGTATTTTTATCTGTAAATCCAGAAAAGAATGTAACGATCAATAGTCATAAGTATATTTGCCATTTTACTGGCAATACTTTAATTATTATTGTAGTATTGTAATTATCACATATTATTATAGCATAAACAAAGCCATTTTTACTAATGTACCTGTGGTAAGTTGTACACCGAGTACGTCATTCTAAATATGAACACTATAGCGAGGCAAAACATTGGCAAACAATCAACTATTTCGAAAGAATCTCCCCGTACTTCTATTACACCCATAAGCTGCATTTTCCACAAATTTGATTACACACATATAGAAATCATATATGTATAATTCTAATTAAACTATCTAATCATTAATCACTTCAATTTTATTAAGCGCATTTAAAAATAAATATACTTTGACCATAAAGTGTAAATTTCACGATGAAATAACATAATTGTGAAAAATAATATTAAATTTACACGTTTCTTACTAAATGTGCTATAGGCATAAAATATTAAATTAAAAAGTATATTCAAGTTGCTTTAAAATAATAAGTTTTTTTAGTATACCTGAAAAAAGAATCCAGATCCAATAACCAATATTAATACGAAATATATCATGTAGCGTCTGACTTTCGTATGAAAAGGCCATAGACCACTGATGCTTAAGAGAATCCGATTGATATTGTAATGCGAATCTTGAAAAAATTGGTCAGTGTCCACATTCATTTTTACTTATTACTACTATTACTATACACAATAAAATTCAACCACTAAGATACAAAATTTCTAGATATAATCTCTAAGTGAATATATTTTCTTCGTCATGAGCTACAAGACGCATGTGTTATGAATATGTTTGCTGCGTAAAAACCGATGCAAAAGAGTAATAGATTGTGCTTGTGCATTCTTTCGTGTATCATTAACAGAGTTTTTTTCCCTTACCGTTTCACGTTTCCATCACTGTTATTGCATAATGTAAAATTTATTTTTCAAACATTCCAATTTTCTTAAGTATAGCTTATCAAAATGACGGACAAGTATAAATCGTCCATCATTGATTGCTATACTGTCATCCACACCAATGCATTATCTCCTTGTTACTTTTCGCAGAAAAATTTCCTATGCATTCGCGTAAATACAACTTGTCACAACTAAAACAAAACCGTTTGAAAATTGTTTTATCTTTTAAAAAAATTGTCTGTATGGTTTTCAGTTGAGTTTTACTCTCTTTCCTTTTTCTCGATGTCGGTAACTCGAAAGATGTGTATTATTGCAGCCTACCGGCTCAGCGCTAGTGTTCTCTATTGTAAGAGTGGGGACAGTCGTATCTCGAGTCTGAGTATGTGTGCGTGAAGATAGACACGGCCGAGACACACATTTTTTTTGTATCGTTAATAAAGTGTCATAATTTTGAGTTCCAATTCAGTAAAATTAAAAACGAGTAATTTCTTCAAATTTCCACATTGTCGTATATATTAAACCTTTCAAAAAAACCTGTCATATATATTAAAACCTTTCAAAAAAAACTTGTTCAAAAAAAACTTGTATATATTAAAATTTTCAAAAAAGCTATTATATATACTTTCTACAAAAAAATATGATATCAGGAAATGGCACCAAATGGGACTAAAGAACTATGAAAAAAATTGTACACTATTTCTATAAAACTCTTCTATAAAAATTCTTGTATATAAAGCTGTCGTATATATAATTAACTATATTATATACTATATTTTATCATATTCTCTTGATACACGTTCGATCTTGCGCTGCGCGTGAACTTGACGCGAGACACTACCGTATCTCTTGATATGATATATGCCACACGATATTGGTACTTCATGAAACTATTCCCCTCGCATATAAATGCCAATAGATCCATAGCAATATCAGTTATAACGTGAAAGAAGACGTCTCATCGTTCAAAATACTTGTAATGTCTATGTGGGCTCCATATCAAGTAAAAAAAATGTAAGTTCTATGTAAATAATTTGTAATACAATTATTACAGAAATATAATTATTACAGATTCATCAGTTATCGAAAGCGACAGATTTGCAAATATTCATATTGTTGGTATAATATATGTGGATATCAATAAAATTCGAACAGATACATATTATACCCAGCGTAATTAAAAATCGTGCATAATGATAGCTGGAAAACTGTTCATAAAATCGCAACAGAAATTTTGTGTGGTACGTATACTTGTAATAAAAATTATTATTATTTATTATTAACTAATGTTAAAATTTAACTTTTTTTTAAGTTAAAATATTTATGTCTCGAATTAACGTCTCAATTTAAAATGTTGGAAAGTATTTACATTTTACTTGCTAAAATTCTAAAACATAACAAAATTTTTTTAATAATAGTAATGTTAGACTTAAAACATTTTTTTTGAAATATTTGCATAATCATTTTTAAGCAATTAATATAGGAGATACTTGTTCTAAACAATCTTCTTTATTTCAAAAAATAAAAATTTAATTTTGTCAATTACTTATATGCAAAACAAATAAACAAATACTAATGCATTATTGTTTATTAACAATAATATACATATAATATACATATTTATATTACATTCAAAAGAATCGTCATTAGACATCAAGAGACAATAGTGTTTGCATATATAATATAAAGAATATTCTTCAGTTACAGCATTTCTTTCAACTTTGATTTCTATAGCTTATTATAAGCCGATATTTTTTATAAAAATATTAAAGCTGACACGTTTTCATTAAAAAATAAAAATTACTAGTCAAAATATTTATTTGCTTTTTTAATGTCTCTACAATAATGTGTTGATATTTAATAATATATTAAATAATTATTAAGATAATGTATTAATTTTAAACTCTGTTTCTTGAATATTTATTCATTATAAATACTGTTGAACATTTTATAATTTCAAATTTAATACGCTAAAATTTTGAGATATGAAATATGAGAAGAGAACATTTTATAAATGATCAAAATAGTTGGAAAGGTATGAAATATTACTGAAATATTTGTACAAAAATTTCTAATAAATTAAATTAAAAAATTATTCTTCAAATAATGTTATTCCACCAAGTAAATTTACAATTTTTTTAGCAGTTTTATTAAACTAAATATACTGTATAATATTAAGTAAATATCATATAATAATCTAATAAAGAATAAGAATAAGTAATAAGTAATAAGAATTACGCAGAATTAACTTACATCGCTCAAAATTTTTAGGACACAGATCGTAAAAGCATAAAGTATGAGGATGATGTGCGTATCACCTTAAACAAGATTTTTGAGAATATTTTTATCAAAAGATTGCTTACAATTTACAATGTATATGTACAAAGATATACATTATGATAAAAGAGATACACTTACTGCGTTAAAAGTTATATATGACAATACCATAAATTTACCAGCCGTTAATACCAATGGCTGCATACTTCTCCTCATAACAAGCACAAGCAGTTTTCTTGCAGCTATTGGCAAGTTATACCATTCTACATTATATCTGAAAATTTTGCACAATTACGTATTTATATCATATATTTATTTGGTAATTATATGATTATACTTTCATGAGTCTGCATGACGCACTTGTGCAAATGCAATTATTTTTGATATTTTTCTTGATACCTACGCGGATTCGAATATTTTCTCACTAGAATCTATGATTTTCTGACCTTGCCAATTTTCAAAAAATACGTTCATTAAAATAGCGTTCATATAACTAAGATTTTTCAAAGTGCGATTGATATTTTGCGTGTTTGTCATCACCTAGCAGATAACGAAGTATGTAAGTAATAATTAACAATTAAAATTTGAATAGCAGATTGAATTAAAAAATTATTACAGAACTGTAATCCTCCAAAATAATATCTAATAAGTATTACACAATCATAGAAATATTTTTCATCACACATACCTGATATCCTATAGCGCTTATCGTCAATATTGTAATTCCGACATGTATAAAAAGAGGTGGACTGTATACTGAATTCATAATGCCGACAAATCTAGTGCAATATATTTAAAAAGGATAATTTATTACTATTGATTACAAAAGATAAAAATCGATCCATATACATACTGTATCGTCTCTGCATGCCTTCGAATACTGTACGCTACATTAACGTAAGATTTATCTTTCGTAGATGTCTTTGTCGAAGCATTACTATCATTTTCAATCAAGCATGCATTTTCCAAACGATATCTAGAGATTATTCAAAATTTAAAAACAATTATGATTGCTTTTATAATAAATAAACCATTTAGTCATTCATAGAAAATTTTCGTGTCATGCACGTGATATATTTCGCGTTTTTCGTGAATTTACAAAGTCCATCAACTCACCTAAAAGCCGCGAACACACCGCGGCAGTGTTCGACGAGTGATATATAGAAAACATCGAACGTAACCACAATAAACACATTATACACGTTGTAAGTAACCATGTGAATAAAGATTGGTACATAATATGTATCAAGATCAACCATGTAATTGACTCGATAAGGTACTCCTACTTGGGCCTCTATCATTTTGTTTGATGATGTAACATTTTCTTCGAGTGGTTTATGCATAAGCTTTGTCAATAATGGCGCCAAATTATAAGCAACACTGTGGCCAAGTATGATGTCTAATTTAAATGAGAAGGTTTATGTTAATGATATTATAATTTTTATATTTTATGATTACTAATGTCAAAAATTATGTCATAATAACTATAAACAATGTTCTTTAAAAACATTGTAAAATATTACAAAATGCCAAATGACGTTTCAAATTTTAAAGACAAATTCACATCAAAATATGCTAAAAACTGTTATTGCACTGTTGTTACATCAAACACACATGTATAAAGGTAGCCGATTTTTTGCCCAAACTGCGTATACGAATTATGTATCTGATGTTCTTCATCCGATTTTGGAGAAAGACAGTATTCCTGCATTTTTATTAAAAGTAATTTTATCTGTAATTTAAGAATAGAACTTCGAAATCACGAAATTCGATTAAATTCAAATTACGATAAAAATTATAAAATAATTTTGTATTCTTATTATTAATATTTTAATTACCACATATTAGTATAATTAATACTACTTTTATTAACACACCTGGGATAATGTATACATCGCGTAAATTACTTTGAATAGCATCACCACAGCCATATTTAACATTGGCAAAGAATCGATTACTTCGACAGAATCATACCGAACTTCTATTACACCCATTAGCTACATTTACCACGAATACATTACACACATATCATGTAAGAAGCACACATAATTTTTATTAAATTATATTTTTTAATAAATTGCCCAATTGTTAATCATTTTAATATTGTTAAGAATTTCAAAAATGAGCGTAAATTTTGAATGTGAATTGTAGAAGCAGTAACATTTATATAATTGTTCGAAATAATATTCAACTTCCACATTTGTTGATTGATGCTGTAGCCGTAAATACTTAACAATAATAAAATTGTTTACTTCAAATTAATAAAGATTTTTTTTTCATATACCTGGACGAAAAATCCAGATGCAAGTAGCAATATCAGTGCGAAATATGTCGCATAGCGTCTGATTTTCGATTGAAAAGGCCATAGACCACTGATACTTAACTGTGTCCGACAAAGCTTGTAATGCGAGTTCAGAAAAAATTGATCAACATCCATCGTGTTTTTACCTATTATTCTTACTATATTCTTACTGTACCTACTATATTCTTACTTACTATGAAATTATATCGCGTATAGTTTGATGTTCTTTTCGTCATTCACGTGTCGCGAATGCGTTTGATGTGTAAAACCCAACACAAGGAAATATTGAACTGTATTTATGTATTTTTTATTTACCATTTTTCCCGTCATTGGTTTATTTTTCCAGTTTTAAGAATTGATATAAAATTTGCATTTCAAACAGTTCAAGTTTGCTAAATACAGTTTGTCAAAATGATGGACATGTATACAATTGATTTCTATGCCATCCTTCTATGCATGGATGCATCGTTCACGCACAGTCACGCACAGTCACATATTTGCAATACAAGTAATTTACATAGGTTAACATGAGTGAAGGATTTGACACACACGCTCTTTCCTTATACATTCGCCGTTCTAAGAGATATAGCCGTATCCGTTATAACATAGAAAAATAAGCATTCAGTAGTACAAAGTATTTATGTGGTGTAAAATAAAAAAAAAAACATTAACGTATTATTTTCTCAATTTTAAAAAATTGAAATGTTTTTTAAAAATAATAACGTCAATTAACATTTAAAAATTTTTGTTAGATATTTGCATAATTGCTTCTAATAAATTAAAATGGAGTTTTTGTTTCAAATTAATCTTTCTTTTTAGAAAGCAATTTCCCATTTTCAGTATCAAGATTTCTTTTTGATAAATTTTTGTATCTTAATTGTGTTTCTACAAAATTAAATCATAAAAAAATTTCAAAGAATAAAAATAGTTAAAATATTTATTTAATGATTCTCTTGATATATTAAAGATGACGTATTGTTATTTAAAAACTTTGAATATTCCTATTAATGTTTATTCATTGCAAAGCATTATAAAATATTGTATGTTGTTTGATGAAATTTTTAGGACATGTGGTAAAACTTATTATAAATCAAAACATTGATTAAAAATAAAAAATATTTTTTAATATTAATATGATAATTTATAACAGAGAATAACGTGACAAATATTTCTAAATAATATTTGTCTACACCAAAAATTAATATTCTTTTAAAATTATATATCTTTTATTTAAATAATTATATAACATTAATTACTAGAGCCCGGATTTAAGTTCTCAGATCGAGCAACCGTAGCTAGTTCTCCCCACCATGTCGCGCTCGTCGAGCGGGTCGAAGTGAAGAGAGCTGTGAGGAACTCGCTACGATCGACTCGAAATGGTACGTCGGCCGGCGGAAAATCCGGGCTCTATTAATTACATAAAAAAGTAAGTATCAAATACTTGTGTAATAGATACCAATACATCAATTTATATTGTGTTACGTATATACGTCAATATTATTACGTTACAGACCGTAGCAACATATTATAAAATATTAAACTTTAACAAACTTTTATTTTAATCAAACAATCACATATATAGTATTATACTTGAATTAAAATTGGCTTCTTAGAAATTAGCGCTTTTATTATGCGTCGGCAGCGGCTTTGATCATGCGGTGAAATATCATATGCTGGCCTAGTGCCTACTGACCTAGTGAAACCTTAGACCTGCGGTTACTATTCCTCGGAAGAAAATGCGACTATCGAGCGAGTCATCGGCATATTATAAAGAATTATATTATTGTGAACTATCGGTGGATATTGATACGATTGTTAGTTAGCGGCGAATAGCTATTACAATAAGATTTAGCGGCATCTTTGATGTAAAGGTATATAAACCGGGATTCCGACGAAGTCGAGCAGTCGAGAAAAATCCTGACACTACGAAAGATTAAAGTTGTATATTCTCTAAAGTTTGAATCTTCTTTATTCATTCTCGTACTCCAGTGCTCGGAATTAGTCTGAACATTTCAGCCGATTTCCGTGATATACGCCTCCTTTCCTCTCCTTACCGCGCGCGCCGCAGCCGCTAGGGCCAGCGCCGCCGAG